TAATAATAATAATAATAATAATAATAATAATATATGACAGTGAAAATTGTAAAATAAATTGGGGTGTTCAGATTAGGCAAAAGGTGAAAACTTGGATCCGTTTCCTGCAGCAACTGTGACGTCTGACTCATCTAAGATTAGCCTCTGTCCCGCTTTGGGGCCACTGCTGGTGCCTGCCCAGTGATCTCTGACCTATGTGGTAATAGCAATTCCCCCAGTGAAAGGGATCCCTTCCTCGTCACACAATAGTAATAAATAAATCTCAGACTGCTCAAAACGTAGAACACAACACTAGAAAGTAAAAGAGTACCACAGACTGCAGAAGACACCGAGGTTTATTTAAATAAAACACATGCTAGAATTGGAGAAAAAGAAAAATAACCACTTTAGAGTAAAACATCAATCGACACCATCCTAACCTATGCATAGTACAAAAAGTAACCATCCACTGGTTGTTACGCCCTTTTACTTAGATTTTCCCCGTGGCAGAGGTGCGAGCTCACACATATCAGGATGCTGTAATTCTGTCCGTTGTTATTGTCCCAGAATGGCTGGCTCTGCCCGGCCGGCAGATACAGTAAGCAGAACTCTATCTTCCTCTTGGCATCGAGGATTTTGGGAATGGTTATATCAAATTCAAAGATGTCCGTCTGAGGGCCCCCGAAGCGTTTCTGCAGGTACGTGCAGGGGACGTCTCTGAAGTTTTGCCAGGAGTCAAAGGTGATGCGCACACGCACGTCCTTCTGGAAGTGGATGTTCCTGACCCGTACGGTGCCCTGGAGTGCCTGCTCAGTGATGGTGCAGTTCTCCAGGGTCACCATGCTCTCTGCCAGTTTGGCGCGAAAGGCCTGAAAATTGACAGTGGGCTGCGGGAAGCCCAGTTTAAGCTGCGTTCCTGGGCAGCAGGTGCTGACGGTGCAGCTGTAGCCGACCCCCGTCATGCTTCCCAAACCCTGCAGCGAGGGCAGCGGGCCGAGGTCAGACTGATCCTCTTCCTCGGAAAACACTCGCACGGCTGCTAGAGAGAATCCCAGCGAGTCTGCAAACGCAACACGCTTGTTCCGGATCGGTTTCAGAACACCACCATCGTCGCCCAAGTCATCGAAGAAAGATGAGAAAGGGTAGATCAGGTGGCTTGGGATGTCAGCAGACGGCTGCTCTGAAACCGGAGGACGGATGCACGGCCGCAGGGGCTTCAGAATGGGGACCCACACATGAGGACACAGATGTTTACGCTGGTTCAAGCACAACCTGACAGCAATCTCCACAAGTCCGGCTGTCTGGGCCATCGACCCCAGGCCAACCAACGGCAGGACACTTGCAACAAAAACAAAGAGGGATTTCAATCCACTGCTGCCTTGGAAGTGCAGTTAAACTGACACAGGTTGTGTTTCTCAGGTTCATCGAGCTAATTAACCCCAGCAGCAGAGTCGAACATTTCACTTACGTTGGACTGGACATCTCCATGCTGATAGTTCTGACAGGAACGTGATCCTCAGTGTTTGTCTAGTTTGCAGAGAAACATGCCGCATGATACGTTAATATAAAAAAAGCAGTGCTTTTATTCAAATATATTAGACTTTTTGTTAAACTTATGCAAAGAAATTAACCGAGTCATAAAAAGTTAAACTGTTTCGAGATGCAGATTCTCACTTACAAACGCCCATGAGCCGTAGGTTGGTCAGTTGATCCTTCACCCCACAGAACAATCTGATCCTTATTTATACCAGCTCATTTAAGATGTCTTTTTTAAGCTCCTCCCACTTCAGTCTCCTGACCAATCAACCAAGAGGTTTATTATTCATCAAGTTGATTTTCCCATGGCTTGAAGCAACTTTTTTTTTAACTCCTGATTTTTTTCCCTACAATTGTCTTTTAATTGTAACAAAATAAACTGATTTAAAGACTTGAGTAAAATTCTGTCTTGTGTGTCGATGAGAAGGGAGCACAGGCTCAGCTTCTTTCTTGTGTAATTTGACTCTGCTTTGTGGAAAATATCCCAGCCATCCTGAGCTCTATTCTCAGACCTGTCAGTTCACACCAATCCCACCGAGGCCCGGGGCTGGACCGGAGCCTCGGCTGGCTGCCCTTGTCCAAAAGCATGTGTGATGCTGAGGAAGGCCAGGTTACAAACAAGTCCCCGCAGAGAACGGTTATATTACACACGTCCTCCACGTAGTCGTTCGGCTTACTGGGATGCATTTGGACACGAAATTGAAGCCAACTTTGATAAAGGTCTCTGCTACAGCTGGTAAAGAAATTGATCGTTTTTAACAAGTGGTCAATAGTTTAATACTGTACCTACTGTAATTGCCGGTGTATAAGCTGCTTTTTTCTCACGCTTTGGACTCCGCGGCGCAGCTCATTTCTGTATTTTTATTCCAATAATTACATTTTGTTTTCTCCCACGAGTCACAAGGACCCATCCCGGAAGAGAGACATGAGTTAATGAGACTGGTAAATAAAGGTAAAAAAAAAATAAAAAATTTAAATCTGACCAATGAAATTTGGCTAAGGAGCTTCTTGTCACCAGAAACATTTGCCGGAGGCTTCTTGTCACTTGGACACTTGCACAGCTGCCCAGTACACACCTCTACTGGGAGTAGGTCTTTGAGAAACAGCTGGCGTGAACACTAAATGTGACCAGTACCAATCTCACTCATGGTTGTTGCATGTTTCTAACACATAAAACATATAAACTATTAAGGTAAAAATAAAACAACCAACTACCGGTTTTGAATAATTCAGTTGCGTAGATGTTTAGCAGTTTTCTCCAGTGATTACAGATAATGTGTTCTTAGACTAGTTTTTGCACTCGTTCTGTAGGTTGAATGGTTATTTACCGTAGTAATTTACCGGTAACCATGAGTCAGAGACCGTCTCATCATTCATTCAACCTTTATTTATACAGGTTAAGTCCCAGTGAGCCTCAGGAAGTCCAGTGAGAATCAGCAGTGAGTGTTGAAGGCAAACCAACATAAGAAACACCATCTGGTGGTTCATTCTTGTACTATAACAAGGGCTGCACATCTTACCAGGAGCTGTGTACAGTTTGATATTAAATTGTGGACATCTGTGGCTTACACATCAGCACGTCTGATTTGTGTACAAAATTGTGTTTTATACTAAATTAAGTATGCGCGGCTTAGTCAGATGCGTTCTGGCAATTACGATATTTAATATACCAATAGAGGGATTTCAGTGAAGCTCAAGTAAATCCTAAAGGTTTAGGCAGAGATGTTACACAAGCTGTTGTGTTGGAGACAATGTCCAGCTACTACAACAACTGTTTACACCTGTAAAACTGTTACAGCTATTTTTGCCTCTTGTAGCGACCAATCAGATCAATGTCAACCCAGTGACTACTCTCTGAAACCTATTTGCTAATATTAGTTTAATCTTCTCAAAAAACACATTTCTGACTGTAAGATTATTATTTTTTACTTTTTTCTCATTTAATATGTAAAATCCAAGCTCATCTCTAAATGATGGCCTCCATGTTATTAGCTTATAGCTCGCAGCTTAATTCAGGATAATAAAGACTTTAAACAAGTAGTTTGGTTAGATCCAGTCTGGATAAGCATCATGATAACAAACGGCATGCTGACATCAGATCTGTTCAGATAAGCCCACTCTCTCGCTCTTTACTTTTTATTACTTCCAATTACTGAGCAATTTGCGTTCAGGCAAACAATAAGCACTGATTGCACCCTCTGAAACTCTTGTATAACAATGATGTGATGATTACAGCTCACAGAAGACAATGTCCCATGAATCCTTCCAAACTACATTTGGTATTTATACAAACCGCCACCTCACACACACACACACACGCACGCACGCACGCACACACACACACACACACACACACACACACACACACACATGAACATGTGCACCTAAAAATGACAGGAGCGCTGATGCCAAGTGAACTGATAACATTTCCCCTTCAGGTCATCTCGTTATTGAACCATGGATGATTTAATAAAGTCATAAAAAGGAATGAATGAGATAAATTACACATAAGATTGTTGTTTCACACACACACACAAAAAAAACCCATCACACACACAGCTACACATCAGTTGTGACATGACTACAATAAGATCCAAAAATAACATCACAGCACTGCAAACGCTGGTGCGTTCACGACCTTCACTTTTGAAGCCGTGGCGGTATCTGCATGAACGTCTCGCAAGTTTCTCTATTCCAGGCGACAGCGAGGAGGTCGTTAAGTTTCCTGGTGTGACCTCTGCAGATAAATCTGCCCTTTCTCTTTTACAGCACAGGTAGAAGTTAGGCTTTTTATGATCTCCTGCAGCAGAAAATGACAACAAACAAACATGCAACATTAAAAAAAGGACACTGCATTAACTAAGTTTAATTAGCAACAGTAATTAAGTAAAATAACACATTTGGCATATCACAAACAGAAAATATGTTGTTTTATTTGTTGCCAAGTGATACAACAGCTCGGCGCTAAAAATAAATGCAGATTTTACTGCAAACCTTATGCAACATCTGTAGAAATGATTTAGCAGATGTCTGTCCGAGAGAGGTCATTATTACTAGAGAGAGAGGCGGCACTGATTGTGGAGACTCGTTTACCTGGAAGTTCAAATTAACTGCACGGCTCCGCTTGAAACGAGCGGAGCTATGGTGCGATATCGCATCAAGTGCTGGGAGCCCTCTTCAAGATCCACAACGTACTCCCTGAAACAAGAGGCAAAACATTCAAAACACACACCGTGGACAGATAACACTGCCACCTTCTGGACACTAAACTGAACTTGAAGAGTTGTTACCTTTGATCGTCCGTTTCAGGCTCAACAAAAATGTTTTCTTGTCTCTCCTTCACTCGCAGAAAAACGAAGGAGTCCAAACAGGGCTCAGGCACTGGGATAAGATAAAAATGAACCAGTCAATCAGTAAACGCCACCATCAAGCCTGACTTGCAACAGACAGATTATAAAAGGGGATTTTGTACCTGCTTTGAGCATATCCACAGTCTGTAAGTTGGACGGCATGCGTTTCAGCGCTACAGCCTTTAGGTAGGTTTCTGTGCTGGCATAGTACCTGTATGCAACAATTAACATGTTTTAGGTTTTATTCTAACCCTGAGTTTCACAAGAATAAACAAAAGGAGCATCAAGCTTCTAAACTCACTCTTTGGCAAACGCAAACTCCTCAGGAGAAAGCAGGGGCGGCTGTCCTTCAGCCCGAGACCTTTCCTTTTCCAGGACATGAGGGAAAAACTTTTCAATCTGGACAAATACAACACAAAGAGGTGTATTTTTTTAACAATATGCACAAAGAGGAAGACCGTGCCGAGCTTTACTTCAGCGGGTCAGAATGACTGACCTTCAGCAGACGAGAGCGCAGGTAGCTGCTGAGAACATAACGAATCCTGTCGATTTCCATGCGATGAACACTGGCCTTGGCATCGCCTGTTTTTACTCGCTGCAAGTTGGATTCCTGTTTGGAGAAACAGCACAACGTTTTAAGACACCAATACACCAAATATAAACAATAAAAGATTGGAACATCTTCTCAAAAATAACTCGTACTATACTCACCAAAGTTTTTAACGTCATTGTTTAACTAAAAGAATATTCAGGTCCATAAACAAGCAAACAATGGATGTAACCCTCCTGCTGCCCTTGGATCAAAACTACCCATAAGGCCTTAGAGGGCCTGTCACAATAACAAATTTTGCTGGGTGATTAATTGTCTCAGAAATTATTGCGATAAACGATAATATTGTTTGAAATTTGACAATAATTACAAATTATTGTCAAATTTAAGAAGAAATGTTGGTTAATTTGTTTTGTGTGTAGTAAATTTTTTACCACTGGATGGCAGTACAAGACCGTTTGAACCGAAGGATGGATAGTGAGGGAGCGAGCAGCATGTCTCTTTAAGAAAAACGGGAGGGAGGCCCCTTGACGTGGCATGGGCTGTCTCTCCTTCCTTTATTCGGTTCTCAAAATGGCAGACGCTCGGTGTGGTTTGAGCTCTTTAGCATAGCATTTTTCACACAAAGCTTTTAATAATAAAATCAGTAAACAAGTTCTCAGCTTCTTTATGCAGAGAAAAACAACTTTTTAGACAAAGGCACAGGTTTCAACCGTGAATTTTAGAGCTTGGACAAGACGGAGGTTTTTTCCCCCCCGAGGTCGGCCCGTTACCTTAGCTCGTAACTTAGCTTCTCAGCTTAGCTGCTTTTAACGATCCAAAAATGTGATTTTGGACGATTAAAACAAATTTAAAAGATAAAAGAGAAAGGGAGGGGACAGTGAAGAGCAACGGAGTTGAGCCTTTTGTCATCCAGTGTCTTCAGTAGAAAGAGAGACATGAAGAAACGATAAAGACGATAGAAAATGATGTCGATAATTTTCATTTATAAGCGATTAACTGATTTGTTTATAGCGACAGGCCTAGGCCTTAGTCTTAAAACCGAGTCTTCCTAGGTTATTTTGACCCAAGGGCAGCAGACGGGCCACAATATTTAGGTAAAAACTTGTATTTCATAATGTAGAGCAGGGATACTCATTGCGTGGCTCGTGAGCCACATGCGGCAATAATTGCGCATGTCGGCTTGGGCTTCTTTGATGCGGTTTTACGAATAATATTGTGTTAATCTACTTGTTGAGGAGGAGGCAGGTCCGACCAGCCGGTAGAGGTAAAAAAACAAACAAACAAAAACCAGTCCTGTTAAGCTTCAGATGTATTCGCTGAACATCACCGACCACGTGCGTCCGCTGACCCACCGGTCTAAAGATGTAAAAAATGTCCTGTCAATCTCAGATGGATCAGCTACCGGCCGAGCGTCTCCGCACCTGCGGTCATCTGCAGTGAAGGAAGTAGGAGCATCTTATAGGGCCAGTTCTAGACATGGTTACATGAGGGGGCAGGAGGAAATGTGAAGAGGGTCATCTTCATCCGTACACATACTACAGCATATTCATTGTTGAGCATGGACTTTGGTATTCAGTGTTATTGTTGCTTGTGTTTTCCTCATGGGATAAAAGCTGAAATTTTGACACCTGTGAATCAACATTTTCAACCACACTATCAAGCAAAAACAGAGAAGCCAACTGATGCCCATCTTGAATGCCTCGCTGTGGCTGCAACAACAAATTACAAACACAACATGAAGAAAGTCAAGGACATGCACCACAGCTTCTCATCTCAGTACCAAGGTGCATTTTGTTGAAACATAATGAGCTGGCTGTGTTTCTTTTTTGTTCACAGGTGGGTTGTTTCATTTTATTCTTTTATTTGAAGTAACTTGGGGTGATATATCGCGGCTCTCCCCTTGACTTTGATCTGTCAATATGGCTCTTTTGAAAAAAAATAGTGAGGATCACTGATGTAGAGCTTCTTAATGATCAATGTGACAATCATTTAAACAGCACAATCTGAACATTATGCTGGGAGTGGTGGCGCAGAGGTTAGAGAAGGTGGGCCAGTGACCGGAAGATCGTCGGTTCAACGTCCGGTACTGACAACATCAAAATGTGGGTGGGAAAGCTGAAGCACCCACACCTGCCTCCATTCTCATTTGCTCCACTCTGGGCCCTTGAGCAAGGCACCTAACCCCCACCATCCGCCCTCCCAGACACCCTAGATGGCAGCTCTCTGCTCCACACAGAAGGCTGTGGTAGCTCGGTGGTCTGTGGTTGTGTCAGGAAGGTCATCCGGCGTAAAAACAATAGCCAAGTCT